AGATGGGGTCGCCTTGCCTAACCCCCCGGGTAGGTTGGAATTCATCGCCTAGCGTCCCATTCCATAGCAATCTCATCGAAGAAGACCGGACACATGCCATAATAGCCCGGATCAGGACATCAGGGTATCGGGCTTGATATAGGGTGTCTTCAATAAAATCCCATCGAAGAAAATCGTACGCCTTTTCAAGGTCGACTTTGATGACCATGTAGCCTGCTCCACTCTGCTTGCGGCGCATAGAGTGGATCAGCTCGTGAGCGACAACGATATTGTCAACTATCTGGCGGCCCGGAACAAAGCTTGCTTGGGCTGGGTGGATTAACGTAAATAGAGATCCTTTCATGCGGTTAACTAGGACCTTCGTGAATAGTTTGTACGCTACGTTCAGTAAACTAATGGGCCTAAAGTGCTTGATAGACGAGGGGTTATCAATTTTGGGGATAAGAACCAGCAGTGTTTGGTTTAACTCATCGGGGACTGCTCCATCTCGCCATATCTTACGAAATAGGGCCTGGACAGATGGGCCCACAGTTGTCCAATTCTTTTTAAAGAAAAGCGCATTTAGTCCGTCTAATCCGGGGGCTTTTAAAGCGCATTTATTGCTAGGGTGACACACTAGACAAAAATACATCATGATAAGACATACTTCGAAAATATGACAACAGAGGCAAATGACACGATAGATACGACGACAAGGCATGTTTCGAAATACGACACATAAAATGTGAAATAAAAGTTATTTTTAATCGAATAAAATAAATAACATAAAAATACATCATTGAAGTACAAAAATATTAAGTATGTGTTTAATAGTATTATGTTCCTATAGGGGAAAAAAAATAGAATGTAAATGACAGATGTTTTCAGCACATTTGTGTTCATAGCCTTATCAGAACTTGGCTGAACGAATCTTATTAGACTTTATATGACTCCACTTTTGACATCACTTTAAAAAACATATTCAAGGAGTGGATGATTGTTAGTCTCTATATACTCTGCCAGCCGTTTAAATTGAAAAAAATGTAAGAAAAATAAAAAATAAAGTAAGAAAAACCACATGCATAACAAAAATAAAATATTGAAAAGTGCAGACAAGATTCATTTAATTGATGGACTTAGCTAGCTAGTTGTCAAATATAATTATATGTCTTGATTTTTACATATATAATAAATGACTAATGCATATGAAAAATATATAAATATATATATATATATATATATATATATATATATATATATTGGCATTTCTTTAGTAAATTAAACAGCACACTTTAAATCATCTAGTCTTAAAGCAAGATCAAGCAAGCAACCACCAAAACTTTATGTTTGATGCAAAAAATAAATAAATAAATAAATAAATAAATAAAAAATAAAAAAAAAATTTAAATTAAATCAAATGAAAATATATATTTGCTATTTGTAAAGTCTTTCAACTCATTATCCAGCTCCTTTTTTTTTTCATAAAAATACAAACATCACTACTAAAATTACAAAGACACTACTTACAATCAGTCCATTATGTAATCTCCAGGAAAAAACACAGAACAACAAAAAAACCATGTCTACAGCTTTGCCCTTTTTGCTTCACTCTCAAACTCAAAAGGGTCTCTCATATGCCTAACACCAAACCAACAAAACAAAGGCAGAAAAATCAGAATCAACTCGAGTTACAAAAGCATACATACCGGCCAAACGAAAACTACATACAGCAGTAGCGCGATAAATACAACCAAAAGAAATATAAGACCCAAAAAAAAAAAAAAAGAATCGTTCGACAAATTTCACTTCACGAAGTAAAATTTTCTCAGGTACCTATAGCATGGCTGCTGCTACTTGTTAGACCACTGGAATTCTATTTCCAAATTCCTGGAGGGACCACTTTTGCTTTCCGGCAATAGCGTGTACTCACCAGCAACAGCACCTAACATCACCACACGGTCGATTTGGATAGTCACTTTCCCGAACGAGCTCTGTCATCAGTGCACGAAAGTGGTTAGAATACAATAATTTCACAATAAATTACGAATGCTGTCCCTAGAGAGTTCAGCCTAGTCAAGAACTCAAGTGTTTTCCGATATTGAAAGTATCCCTCAGTATGTGCAGCCAGCAAAGTAGAAACGATATCAATGAGTAACTCAATTATGTCAAATATACCTTCCCTTTTTTTCTTTTTTTATAAAACTTGTTTTACGAAGAAGTTTCAAGAATGATATTTATATTTTCTCTGTAACCTCTCGTCTCATGATGTCAGACAAGGTTACCTTCCCCATCTTGCTCTTGTTTTTGCATGAAATGTGAAGCTTCTGGCCTTTGGGAGGACTTTCAAAGGACCAAGAGAAACTCTCATCCCACTCAGGGTTAGGACCCGTTGAGACGACCTGGGAGCAAAAGGACATTTGAAGTGATTCAAATTCACAAGAGTGAAAATAATGCGTATCAAAATGCCCATGTACTACAGCAACACCAACTAAATGGAGGGGCAGTTAGAATCCACCTACCAGGTAACTAATAATAATTATTTAACAACTTAACTGAGAAACACTGCATAATAATATAAAACACATACTCAGAATTCATATCTCATTTGACAGGCTACGCTTTTCAAGGGAACGTAATAACTAATGCCGAATGGCAATAGCCAACTAGTCAAGCACAAACACAAAAACTTCAAAAAATAAAGTACACTAACATATATGTGTGTGTGTATGTGTGTAAGCTTGGAATGACTCGTATATGAGAGAGGAACAAATTAAAATTTAAAAATCAATTTATACCTTGGTTTGACAAGGAGTGGTATTTCCAAGAGTCAGCTTGCAGTACACACTCGGGTTCCCCACAGATTGCTTCATATTGTTACCTCGCTTTATAGTCACCACGAGTGTCCCCGGAAGACACTGCAATAAAAACTCTGCTTTCTCCTGAAAACGTGGTGGGCCTGATTGGATCAAGTACTGTAGAAGAGGTATTGCATCAGCAGCAGCAATGGATTGGGCCCGAGAAACTTCAGCTGGACATGCCGACCAAGCCTGCCTGAGAAGGAATAGTGCATCCAGGGCAGCTTCTTGAGTTGCCTCTGATCCAGTCTTAAGAGAGCTGACTAAATGAGGAATACTTAGAGTCGCGGGCTCAGTGGCCCTAAGACGGGGAAAGTTGCCGAATAATGCGTTTAGAGCCTTTAGATACTCTTCACTTACGGAGCCGGAAGCCCACAAGTCTTTCTCAATTGCAGCTGCAGAGGCAACAGTATAATCAGATTATTTGAGGACATAATAATTTAGAGATGCGTAAAAAAATCTAGATGCAGTGGATTTTGAAGAATTGAAGACAGCATCTATCGGCAGGTATGATGTGTGGAAGGAAATGCATTCTCATGCGAGCAAACTGATGTTGAAGTTGAAAAAATTGTTAGCATTTTAAGGGAGATTGAGATTACATCCTAAGCAGATGCATAAACCTCAAGACATACTTCCCTTTCCATTAGTTTTCTTAATGATAAATTTCAAGATGTGATTGAGTATGAGATGTCAAAATGCTGACTTGATGGAGATACAATGAAATAATAACCAGACATAGGAAATGTGAGTAAGGGAATTTTTGACAAAAAAGTGTTATAATGATAAACTAATTAATATGACGGATTTGTTGGGGTGAATAAGAGAATAAAAGAGGGTGAATAGTGAATTACTACTGAATTTTCATAAGCAATCAATTATATGTTGGAGTAAAAGTAATTTCCAAGGAGGAACGAACATAAAAGAACTACGATAGACAATTATCTATTTTAAACAAAGACCATACCAACACATTGAAAATCTAGGAAATTTAGAAAGAGGAAAAGGGAGGGTGAAAGTAACAAGGACGGTAAGAAGCACACGGATGCTCGTGCAAAAAGATAGAAACATCAACGAGCATTTTTCTTATCAGGACCAAGAACAACCAGCATCAGATGATAATATTGACCTCCACACGAACGGAAAAGAAAAAAGAGAATGTTTACCTGTTATAGCTCTCACGGTCTCACTCGAAGCATATTCCTGAATGGTGGCGTTCGAGAAAAGAAGCTTAATAAACATAGCCGCCTGCAGTGAAGTTTCCGGATCGCTTGACCCGATCAAGTCGAGCACAACCTGCACGCCACCAGCCTCCGCCACAGCCCTCTTGTTTGACCTGCTGTACATCACGAGATTCTGCAACGCGCAAATGGCCACGACCTTCATCTCCTCCGTGGGCTGATCCTCGAGAAGGTTCACCAGTGCCCGGCAGGCCGAGACTGCATCTGCCGTCCTTGCGAGCGCCTCGTTCTGGAACAGGTCACCTAGCGCGAGGGTAGCCAGCAGCCTCGCCTGCTGGCCCTGCGTCTGGGGATCCAGCAGGTATTGGGACAGTGGCAAAATCGCTGATTTAGTCACCTTCGACTCCCGTATCTTCACGTTGTTCAGCAGCACCTCCAGCAGCCTGGCGGCCGTCTCCTCAGACTGGTGGGCCCTGAGGAGGTCCAGAAGGGCCTCGATGGCCCCACTCTCAGCCATAGCCTCGGCACTGGTCGAGTCGTCGCTTTCCAGCACGAGGAGCGCGTTTAGTGCTCCTATGACCGTGCCTTCGGATCCTGAACGGAGCAGCCTGACCAATACAGCCACAGGCACTTCCAAGTAAAACTCGGAACTAAACTGTAGAATACTGGATAGAACACAGGCGGCCGACTCCCATAATGCTTGGGGCAGCAACGGGTCAGCCTGGAGTATGACATTCGACAGCTGGCTCACACCGCCCTCCTTTGCGATCTCGTTCGGCCATATCACGGCTACATTGACAAGTGCCCTCACGGCCCGCTGTTGCAGGATGGGAATCCCCGAACCGAGAATGCGAACCAATGGGCCAATCACCTGCTGAGTCAGCGGGTCCCGCTGGAGATTCTCTTCCAGGAGGAGGTGGGACAAGAGCTCAGCCGCCAGCTGCTGGACTGCCGAAGCAGGCGAGTCGAGCAGAGGGAGGAGGGGCTCGATGGCCTGGTGGGACGTGAGGGTGTAGTCCGCACGGCACTGTGGGTGCTCCAGGATGTTAACGAGGACCTGCAAGGTGCTGTGCTGCCCGTCCGGCACAAAATCCGGCCTCGCCAGCAGCTGGAAGAGGGGCTCGACTACCTTGGCAGCCGACGAGCCCTTAGCGATGGTCGCATTATTGGTCAGTATCCTGAGCAGCTCGGCAAATGCAGCACAGAGGAAATCGGGAGCCTCGTGAAGGATGTCGAGCACGCTGTCAATGGCCCCTGCTTTCACCATCTCCATCTTGCATGCGGGCCTGTCCTTGCCCAGCTTGACCAGGGCCCTCGACACGGCCTCGTGGAGCAAGTAGTTGCGGCCGTAGAGAAGGCTGACGAGCGGGATAACTGCACCGTGGGCCGCAATGAGCTCCGCCAGCTGTTCGTCATCCAGAAGCTTGTCGAGCGCCCGGACCACAGAGTGGTGGGCCGGGCTATACTCGGAGACGAGTAGAGAGACAAGAGGCTCGACACAGCGAGCTGCCGCCAGGGTGGATCTTATCCGCGTGTTGCTGAAAAGGACACAGCACAGCTCAGCAGCGTCCCCTTTGAGCTCCATGGAATAATTCGAAGAGAGGATCCGGCAGAGGACATCAACCGCATTCATTTCGACATCTGCAACTGCTAGGGCCCTCGATGGATTCTCGTTGAGAAGCCTGACCAAGGCTGCAATGGCGGCATGCTGCTCCTTCTCCAGGCCCGTGTTTAGGATCTCGACTAGAGGCTGAACGGCTTGCCTTGCAGAGTCTGCATTCCTCACGTGATCAGCTGAGAACAAGTTCTCCAAAGCTTTTGCAGCACTGTACCTTGCGGCTCTTCCGCCCAAGCGCAAAACAGCAACAAGCTGGCTGACAGCACCAAATGCAGCCTCGTGTCTCCTTATTTCGGCCGTGCTAAACATAATGCCTAGCAAATCAGTGGCGGCTTCTTCATACGCATCCTGGGGCCCAAGAGAGAGGTACTTTGTCACACCTTCCAAAGCCCCCGACTCGACCATGACAATTTGATTGGAAGGGCAATCGGTGGCGAGTTGCGTTAGAAGTCCAAGAGCGAGAAATGGAGCCCCAGGCCGGTCAGGGATAGGTTTGAGCAAATCAACAAGGGCTGGTATAGCTTTCCTAGAAGCTGCACCAAGTCTGATGTCGTCCACCCTGAATAGTCTCTCGAGCGCGACTTGGTCCGGATAACGGACCAATGAAAACTCCTCAGCCAGTTCCAAAAGGTCAATCATGTCATCATCACCACAGCCAAGCATGGAAATGAGTCCTGTTGCCACGCCTGAATTTGCAACAGAGAGGAGGGTTCCCCTGCTACCATTACATACAAGACTAGCCACTGCTTGGGCAGCAAAATATCTGTTCGCTCCTTCCTCTGACCGCAACAAACTGGTGAGCACAGAAATTGCTCTCATTGTTGCATTTGAGCGTATGACGTCTCTGTCTTGAAATAAGATTGCTAACAATAAGCCACTGATCCATATACTGCCATCCTCTTTATAGTCAGCCTGCCAAAAAGAAACAAGAATTGTTTACGAATATACAGCAAGCTGTCTCAATCAAGTATGTAACTGGCATCATGAGTAGATTAAAAGGATAAAATGAAGGTAATTTTATATTTTTATAGTATTGCAAAGCAAAGAACGAATTATAACCAAATAATACCTGAGTGTATTGCGAAAAGGATTCAGAAATTTTGTCAGTAAGAACTTCAACTGCACCAGCCTCCATGATCTCATGTTTATATTTGTCATCACGACAAGAAAGGGCAGAAAGAAGCCAGATAGCTATATTGGCATCACTAATGACTGATGTACTTCGCTCCAAGTCATGTTTTCTATTGTCCTCATCAAATACTCTAGAGATGCTTATTATGTCCTTGTTTTCCTGACTAGAAACTTGAGAATCCTCCTTATAAGTGAACAATCCAACAAGAGAATGGATGAGTGAACCACATAAATTAGACATGTTTAAATCTTCAACTACACTTTGATGATTGACTTTTGAAGTGCAGACAAGAAGTGCAGCTCCTCCAATTTTAACCATTGCATTGGCAGAACTGATAACCCTTCTTGCTATTGATGAAATGCATCCACTGGCACAGGCAATTGTGCTCCCAAGAGTTATGGGCTGAGCTAGGGTGAGCCGTGATAATATTTCTATAGCCCTATCCTGCAATGCTGGGGAGGCATCAGCAATAGTTGAAACTATAGGAGTAATGCTACTTGGGCTTTCTGCAAGAGCACTCCAAGCAGATTTTATCTGCCCGATATCTCCTACAGACTTCGAGAGAGAAGCAAGTGCACCTAATGCCTCTGAAATAGCAACAGATCCAGTTTCAGCTGCTTCCAGGAGAGAAACTAAAGCAAGTACTGTGCCGTTACGGTTAACAGATTCTGTCAAAGCTGAATCAATCTCACGATAATGGAGAAGCCGAGCAATTGCTGCTGCTCCATGTGTTTTTCCAACATGCGATCCTTCACGCAAAACTCGTGTGGCAGGTAAAATAATGTCTTCTGAAATTGCATTTTCTGAAGCTTCATAATCTAAAAGGAGATTTGCCAGAGCACAAACAGCTTGCTCTGCCACCTGTAACACAGAGGAGTTTGCGAGCACTACAAGCAAAGGGAGAGCATCCCTAGCAATGGAAGCTATATCACGGTTATCCTTAACTGAGAGAAATATAGAAGCAAGGCACCGAGAAGCTTCCGCTAAAATGTTCTCGGAATCAATATTCAAAAGTTTCATGACTGACCAGAGGGTCTTAACAGCAATGTTAGATTCACGCAAGTCCTTCCTGAGATCAAAGATCCCAGCAAGAGCTCGCGCGGATTTTGCTTGAGTCTCTTCCTTGGTGGAACTTAATATTTTTATCATTGTCTCAATTGCATCATTCGCTGCAGTACCTTCACGCACTAGATCACTCAGAGGTGCCACGCAGAGCAAACTTTTCAATGCATCCAGGACATAAACTTTGGATTCGGGCAAATCACTGACCAGTAATGCAGTGAGCTGACTGATTGTTGCTGTATCAGACTTGTGAATCAAATGGTTTAAAGTCTTAGCAGCAATCTCCTTCCCGTTTGGGCTTCCATTCTTTAGCAGCCAAAGTAAAGCGGGCACAGCATCAGCACTTTCGACACAGGCACGTATATCCTCGCTGTGATTACAAAGGTTGCCGAGGATGGTGGCAGAATCTTCTTTAGCTTTAGCAGAGCCCGTCTCCAGAATCTGAACAAGCGGAGGAATACCGCCAGCAGCAGTTATAGCCCATTTACTCTCATCATTTTCATTGGACAGAAGACAAAGCAATGCAACAGCACATTCCTGCTGCTGCTCTGATGAAAGACCAAGAAGAGATATCAGGAGTTGAATACCCTCTCGGCCTTGAAGGGCCTGCCACAGAGTACCTTCATCTCTGCAGAGAACAAGAAGGGACTTTATCAACTCCTCCTGAACTTCCATTGTCGCCATAGTAATTAAACCAACAAGCAGTCTCTTTGCATCAGAATTGGCAAGTTTGCTTGCTAGTATACCATTTCCATACAAACTAGCAAGTGCTTCTATTGTACGCTCCTGGACAAGAAAAGGGGATCGAGATTTGAATTGCTTTACTAATGTTTTCTCCACCTCCACGGGATCTGACGCCCGAGCATTTTCGGCTTTGCTATCATATATCATCAGCGCTGAAGCTAATGCTCCCAGTGTATCAGCTACTTGTGCAGGGGAGGTGCATGACTCAAGGCTTTGACCAAGGCTCGAGATGACGTATGACAAACCTCCAGATATATTAGCAAGAGCACACATCGCATTTTCTTGCAACGCTTGAGCAAACTCACCCTGCATGAATTCTTTAGAAGGAGCTATTGTAGCATTTATAAGCACAGGGATACCGCTGGCGTTGGCAATATCCCGCCTCGCTTCCTTGCACTGAGCAGAAAGTGATTTAAGAGCAGATGCAGCTTCTGCTCTTACAGAAGCTTCATTTTCAGATCCGAGCAGCTTAAGAAGTAGTTTTGTGGTTTCAGCAGCTAAGATTTTAGAACATACTGATGCATCCTCCATCATCATGCATGCCAATAGAAAACATACATTTGCTTGAGTCCCTGATTGCCCTGTTGTCAGCAATTTGACCAGAATATCAACTCCTCCAGCTTGAATTGTAGCTCGCCAGAATCCTTCGGTGCTGCTAGAAAGATTCCGCAAAGCTCCTGTAAGTAAGTCATCTACCGTGCTTCCAGCCTTTAGTCCTTTCTTTAATTGTTCCCACAGTGCAGGCACAACTCCTTCGGTTGAGAAGATTTTGGATCCAACATGATCCTTAGCACCACCTTGGGACACAGCATATATGGTCTTTGCTGCTGCAATTTGACCATCTGCAGAGTTCGACTTGAGCAGGCTGAGCAATGGGGGAATGCAGCCTCCAAGTAAAACTTTGACCCTCAATTCATTCTCTTTGCAAAGAGACCCTAAAACAGTAGCAGACTGTATTTTTATCCCAAGAGATCCAGACCGGAGAAGAGATACAAGAACTGGGACCGCTTGAGAATGTGATCCGACTGCACCAAAAGCATTTTCTCGTGTGTCAATTAGATCAAGTAATTGCCTTAAAGAAATCTCTCTGTCTTGCGATGATGAGGAACTCTGTCGCAATTGCTCAATGCATTGTGCAACACTTGCTAATGTTCCATCAGGGTCCTCCATGCTACTCCTATCTCTGCAGGTAAAGAATTATGAGCTTTATCTAATTAAACCAACATAAACCAACAAAATAGGTGAAAATATTACAAGTTCCATCAAAATTAAAGCAATATAAACCAACACAGGATATCAGGAACAAAAGAATAATGTGACAGACAATACACTGGCTAATAAATTTAATAATTCTCCAAATGGAAAATTAACATATCTAAGACTAAGATGTCGCCAACATGACCAATAATTAAATAGGAAAATCACAAAAATAAACAAAGGGTCTTGAAATGTTACACAGTAAGTCACAGTATCTTAGCTGGTAGGAGGCAAAAGATGCACCCGGAAACTTTTGCCTCGGAAAACCCAAGGAATAAATAATGGACCTTTATCCTCGAGTAACTTCACATTTAGTTCCAATATTGTAGACTTGTAGTCTCCGCGTATTGTATTAGGTTTCTCAACACGAAAACTCCGATATATTGGAAACAATAATATCGTCGATCTAGAAAAAACTGATATTAAATCACCAAGAAATGATTTCTAGTAATTAGAAACATCAACTATCAATAACGAATAACCAAATTTGCTTCCTTATCAAGCCATATACTTCGATTATATTCCTTTTACTACATGCATTTGTTTCATTTTAAAACAATTTAAAGCCCTCCTACTAATGTAAATAGGTCGATACTAGTTTTGCTCATGAAATAAAGCACTATTCCCATTTAAGGAATTGGAGAGTCAGATTCCCATCGACTTAAAACTCATCAATCACCAAAGATGATATACGCCAACCAAGACAATCCACAGCCAATCCTGAGACATTTGACTAAGAAACCCACAATTAACTCTCTTTCATCTCTCAATCGGAAGATCATACAATTAAGATTACAATTGCAGCACCTGCACATCACTAATTTCTAAGAGATGCAACAATCTATATTATTGGCAAGGAAAGGCCAGGCTAGATGTGTTACCTGAAGCGGCGAAAGGAAATGCCTGAAGCAAACATAATGAGCGCAAATAAACAATATTGGAAAACTATTGTGATGGCATGACTGACAGTATGAAGGAGCCCAAGATGGCAAGATCAACAGAATTGTATTCAGGTTAGTAGATTACACAAAAGCAAGGGGGCAGAGAGACGAAAAAAATCATAAAATAAACTCAAGGAGGTCAAATGGGCTTATTTATGACCTAATAAGCATGCAACTTTATACACCGCTCAACCGCAACTCCCCCTCCAAATTAATAAATACCCCACCAACCAAACCACTTTATAGATTTACACTATTCTTTTAGATTATAGTCATGTTCTCTATGATTAACCTTTTCACGGAAGGCCTCCGCTGCTGAGCCAGCCCAAGTCTCCTTAATGACTTATGGTGTCAAACACAACAATATGACTTTGACTAGGCCCATGAAGGTGCTCAGTTACAACAGATTTAGAGTAAAACAGAACCCATTGCAGCCTGACCATATAGACTTGTGAGAATTGGCTGTAATTTTGCTAACATAGAAAGAGAAAGTGGTGGTATCGTGCTGTGTTGCATTTTTCACCAAGATCCCAAGTAGTGGATGTTCTTAAAAGAGGCTTTGTCCAATTCAAGATTTATCCCCAATCTCAAGTGTTGGATGATCTAACAACACTTTGTCCAGGTGAAGTTTGATATTTGAGTGAGAAAGCATGGAACGGTGTCTGCGAGCTTGAGAAGAACATTGGAAACAGTGGCAATCTTCAAAATGTTGATTCATTGGGTTGACCTAATAATCCTCGACGATTTATCAAACACTCAAGGAATGAATTGCATATTTTAAGGAAAATCGGCACTTAAAAACCTTATTTTCTGATATTTGTTTAGATTTTACAATTATATCAGTATAAACACACAAGCACATGGTCAATAAGAATTAAACCTTAGTGTAACACCAGTGAGGCAGCTATTTTTAATCGTTTTAGGCACTGTTTTTAATTAGAATTTATTTTTAAAGATAGCAGCACAATTACATATAAAAGAGCATCTGTGTGAATATAGCATCATATGATATTAAAAATAGCATCATACACAATTAAAAGTAGCCTCATATAAGTTTCCGCAAGAGGACTGGTTTTAATTGGAAACCTAACCTATGTGTGTGTGTTCTTAGGTGGAAAATTGTTGCATACCACTATCACAATACATAAGGCTGCATTAGTTGTGCTTGGATTCCTAGAAAATTTTTCCCATTCAGTTTCAAAATCTAAGACAACTACAAAGGTCAATTGCATTTGTTGGTAACCATATAAATAACAGGAAAGCAATCTATTAATTGCCTTTTAATAAAGAGAAGTGATGAATTTAAGAAGCTGCAACATCAGTTTATGTAACAAAAGTGGGAAAAACTATGTGCACTATATATCATATGCAAGTAATAATATATTCAAATAGATCCATCTTTGACAAAGTCCCCCATTCATGAAGGTTTGTAGGTGATACGATGCGTTAGCAGAACAGAAAGGTGGGAAATATATGGCTCTTTGTTCTAGAATAAGTATATATGCTCGATAACATCATTACGAACTGCATTAATGTCATGGAACCTAGGTTAATTGTAAAGTATAGTAGCCCACATTTGAGTAATGTCATGGAACCTATGTAAATTGTAAAGTATAGTAGCCCACATTTGCAGGAAGCCTAATTTTTGGAAAAGAAAAATATAGCCACTCTTCAACCAACCTTGAACTCAGTTTTATCAGAGCGTGGGGAGTTGGAGGCTCAGTGTCATGAGATCTAGCTTCCCCATTTCTCTCCTACAGTAAAAAAGAGCAAATTATATATGTCGAAAAGAGAATCATCAAAATGCACGCACTCCATGAATATGAAACATAACCACAAATACTAGTGATAAGAAAACAGAAGGAATGCTTGATATGCAACCAACCAAAGTATGTAAAACTTGTCCATGAAGAAAAAAGTGATCAGAATAAGAAAAAATTGTACAAACAATTAATGTGAAAGATAGTTCTCATGAGAATTAGGAGCTTCTTCAGATCTCTTCTGAAGGAGAAGTACGCGACATAGAGGAAACTATGCGAGTAAGTTACAAATCAACTATCACCTTCGATTTGCTTCAGAAATGGAAGTGAAGAAAATAATAATCACACACTTTCCAAAATTTCATAAAAGGTCGTTCAGAAAAGATATGGAAAGAAACTGTATCCTACTTCGGCATGATCCATAATTCTCTTAAGCGATTTCCTCAACCAACATAATTTACATAGAAGAAATAATCACAAGCTACGCAACAATAAAATTACAATAGGAAACCCTCATCACTGAAAGTAGTGCATATCATCCAACCAGAACGTACAAAGTCCTATATACTTTATTCCAAATTCAGATCATGAAAGTTTAGAAGATTTCAAGTTTCAATAGACACTGCCCTAAGCCTCACAAGTTACAAGCACCATTTAAATGCCTTTTCCCCTTACCAAGTCATTGGAGAGAATGGTGCCGTCATTAGAACCAGCAGCCCTCCAAGAAAGTGTGGCCGCCAGCTTTCCTGCACTTCTAATGCCTTCTCTTTAGATCCAACTGTTCGAGGCAAACAAGATCCGGCAGCAGAGACCTGTCAACTAACACATCAGCAGCATTACAAAGCAATACTAAAAGCCTAAAGTTATACAAATAGCACAAATCTACAAGTTCTTCTGACAGCACAAATCAGGTAAGTGGTAACTGAATCAAGTGATACAAAATGAACTGAATTCAACAACACGCTAGCCCATTCATCAGATTCACATGAAATAACAGATCATTGAGCGAAATATTCACATCAAATTGTAAAGCGGGTGAGCAAACAGTGAATCATTTTGAAATTCCACCTGGTGTTACCAAGAATCAGTAGATCAAGTGTTCTTAGATGCAAACGCTGACTGAAAACAAAACGAAGGCATCCCACTAGAGATCAGTTCAAACCAGCAGAATTTTCCATAGACACACTCATGAGCTAGGTGGGTTAGCAAGATCTAGCAGAAATATAGAAACCTTTTTCTTTAGATTCAGAATCAGGACATCAAAATTTCTTCGTGGAGCACGAATGTTGGTGATTCGCATCAAATGTAGAGAGAGAAAGAGGGATGAGGAGAAGGGGTGATGACAAGTTTGCACTCTTGTTCGTTTTTTGTGTTTGTTTTTTCTCTCTCCACCTCTGAGCAAGCGCCTCTCTCTCTCTCTCTCAAAGTTAGAGTATCGTATATATGACACTCTCTTGCAGAGTGAGAGTATTGTATATGACAAGGGAAGAAGATAGAAGACGTAGAGAGAGAAAATTAGCAATGTTACAGTAAAAAAAAATGGGGTTGTGCGAAGGAGAGAGCGACGGTGGCGTGTGGAGGAGGAGAGAGGGGCACCGACGGGTTTTGTGGCGGCGGCGGCTTGTTGGCTGGGTGTGACTTCGGCTTGGACTGGCTTTTTGTTTTCGGTTTTCACGTATTAACTAGTACAACGCCAATACACCGGTGGGTGTTTCCTAATTTTTTTTTTTTTTAAATTTAAAATTAATGAGAAAAAATAATTAAAAATTTAAACCGCTTTTATAAATATATACATATATATTATTATATATTTTAGTATGACACTTATTATTTGTACGGCTTACATGTGTTATATTATTATAATTTTTTTAACTTACAATATATAACTATATTAAATTAAACATAAACAAATATTTTATTTTTATAATTAATTTTAGTAAATATTATTATTTTTTATTATTATAAAATAAATATAATTTATTTATTTCATATATGCAATATGGATGTCAAATCGAAGTTCATCAAAAGATAATTAATTTGATATATTATATATGAAAAAACGATAAGAACTACAAAAGTTATCAACTTTTAAAATACATTTACAATTCAATAGCTAATTGTGGGAAGCAAATCAAAAGTCAGTGATATATTAGTCATTTAGTGCCGCACTTTGTAAAATTACAAAGAATTCAAGAGTTATATTAGGACAAGTGATATTAAAATACCTAAGTTGGCTAAATAATATTTATAAAATGTCCAAACCTAGATTATTAATTATTAATATATCAATATTATTTGTCCAAACCTAATTACGAAGCATGATTCTTCGCCAAGTAGAATTTTGAAATACCAGGAGCAGCCATGTAGGCTCAGCACATTCGGAAATTAAATATATAAGAGGATTTGGCCCCAACCAAATAGTCATTAAATTTTATGTCATATAAAAATAGTAAAATAATTATTGTAAATTAATAATATTAGTTAAAAAATGAGAGTGGACGAATAATTAATTTTGTTAAAAAAACATGTATTTTTTATTGATTTATATTTTTTCATTGTGTTGGTAAGCTTGGTGAGAAAAAAAAAAATGAATAAATAGTAATTGTTTTTTAAATTATAAAGCAGTCAATCACATTTTAAAAAAAAATATCTAATAAAACGTAATCTTAATTTTTTTGAAATCCCACAGAAAATATAAAGATCCATATTTAATGTGTATGCAACCCACAGTAAAATAAGTTGCATCAATTAAAATTGTCATTATAATAAAAAAATAAATAATTTTTTCATACAAATCATGTTTTGAAATAATGTCTTCATAAACAATGAGATTTTAAAAATAAATAAAATATTTCCTAATCAATAATGAATATTTATTTAAATTCAAACGAATTTAAATTAATTAAGTTTAATGAAATTAATTTGGTTACATAAATTTACTTAATGGATATAAAAAAAAAACAATTTTAGAAAACCTTATAAAATAAACTAGCATAGTTAATTGGTTAAAAGGATAGAAAAAAATAAATAACTAATTCGATAAGGTGATTAAAATGTTAGCTAGGTATCTAATTGTCATATGTAAAGTCGATGGTCTCATTGCCTAGCACAAATGCACGGGATAAAATATAAATTCTCGAATGATTAAACTGATATATACTTTTATATGAATTTATAATGTAATATTTATAACCCTCAAAATATCTATTTCAATTATTATCCATATGATTAATGAAGCTCCCAAGTTTAGTAAAAATTGGTAGGGTTGACAGTTAGGGCTTGCTTGTATATAAAATTTTCTGCTCAAAACGGATCTTTTTAGTTTACCAATGTCAATTTGAAAAAAATATAGTATGCTTAGTTGTAAGTATGATTTTTTAATTTATATTGAAATAATATTTAAAATAATTAAAGTTGATGAGATGCCTAAGAATGGTTGAGTTAAATAATTTAATTATATTGATAGTATTGTTGATAAAATTGAGTTAAATTTACTTTTTTTATTCGAAATTTTAGAGGTATTATAGGAGATGCTTGGATATAAAATTTTTTAGATTTGTTTGGATTTTTTGGTTTAGTTTGGTTAATTTTGAAAAAGGTTAGATGGTTAGTTGTTAGTGGGTATATTAAAATAATATTTAAAATATAATAATTAAAGTTGATTTGATATAAAAGTATGAGAGATATGATTTGAAGTGATGGTTAGTTAAATTATGTGAGTTGATGAATAGTGAATTAAGGTTGATGTGATGTGTATAAATGATTGGTTGATATTATTTAATTATAATAAAATATTGATGATAGTGGGGTTGAGTTAAAGTTGAGTTAAAAAAGTGGTTGAGTTAAAAATGATTGGATTTTTTTGAGATAATTTTGTATCCAAGCATACTCTATATAACTAAAAATCGCACAAATTGTGAAGAGAAAATAGTCAAAAGCTGAAAAGTACAACCAAAAGCTGAGAAGACTGGGAAGACAAATCCGAAGATCGCCTAAATTTAATTCCAACAATGCTAGAATAACAAATTCGTAACACCACAATGAAAAAACTAAAAAACTACGAAAATGATCCCAAAAGCACAATGTCTGAGTTAAATTTACTTGGATTTTAAATTATGAATTAGAAATCAAAGTTTTATATTGCCCTTCAAATAGCAATAGTTAGACATGCCAGCCAGCTTGATAAAAGACTCCAAGCCAGCTAATGATGTAGTTTGAAGCGCAAGCCGCCAAGCCGACAGCCAACATATAATTCCACCTCAGTCCATAATGCAGTGGACATCGGGAAAATTCGATGATACAGGTGGGGGCAGTGCAGTCATGCCTCCACCACCCTTGATTTCACACACACCTATGTGGGTGTGTGTATTTGTGTGTAAATCAAAGGTTCCTAGAGGTTGACTGCAGTGCCCCTAGGGGCAACATCGAATTTACCGCACATCGGATGTACGTTTATACAGTAGGAGACACCTAATTAAATTAAACTATTTATTCTCCTCATGTGTGTACTGTGATTACAGGAAATTGTTTCATTTTTTCTAATCAATTATTATTTTATTAGTAAAAATGAGTTATAACTAAACACCCCACATGCAGTTAATAGGTCAAAATCAATACATGTGATATTTTACTTATAAAAGCAATATTTATAAAATCTTAAAGTAAAATCATTTTCTAATGTGAATGGAGTTATGATTAACCAATTATTAATTTTTTTTCCCCTTTACCTTAGACTGATTGACCAGTGAAATTCAGGTACGGTAGATGAAATTTTACCCGCTGATAATAAATTAGTGCGTAGTTCGAGAAAATAATATTACAATTGTATTACGAATGAAGTATGTGAATAATATTAATCATAATTTATCTATTTTTTTAAATTAGACCAAGTTGGACAATCCGACAAGATGGATGGGGAACCGGTTTATAACCGGTCATGTTTGATTGAATAAAATGTTTGCTAACGAACTCATCACTAGCCGGTCGGATTGGTAGGATCGATTTTCTAAGTAAATTTTGTGACACTTAAAATTATTTTAAATAAATATACATATTCAAATAAAATTAATATTTATAAATTGTTTATCAATCAGTTTAAACATTCAAAATTTTAAATTATTTAGATATTTAAGTAATATTTTTTATTTTAATTTATTACAAAGTACTATAT